TAAGGCCTTTCACCCGAATGAACCTTTATGTGTACATTGAGGCTATTTCTTCGGAGAAAGGACTTGCCACATTCACTGCACTCATACGGTCTTTCTCCAGTGTGAACTCTCTGGTGAGCATGTAGGACAGAACTAGCCGTAAAAGATTTCCCACATTCATTACACTCATAAGGCCTTTCTCCAGTGTGAACTCTCTGGTGAGATCGGAGGGAATAACTACAAGCAAAAGATTTCCCACATTCACTACACTTATAAGGCCTTATTCCAAGGTGACTTTGATGATGATACTGAAGGGCATGGCTACGACTAAAAGATTTCCCACATTTATTGCACAGATAAGGTTTTTCTCCTGTGTGAATTCTCTGGTGTTCAAGGAGTTTTGACTTGCAGGTGAAAGATTTCGCACATTCATTGCACTTATAAGGCATTTCACCAGAATGAACCTTTCTGTGTACTTTGAGACTATTTCTTTGGATAAAGGACTTGCCACATTCGCTGCATTCATAAGGCCTTTCTCCACTATGAACTCTCTGATGATAAAGGAGGACAGACCTAGTGGTAAAAGTTTTCCCACATTCACTGCACTCATAAGGTCTTTCTCCAGTGTGAACTCTCTTGTGATTACGGAGGATAGAGCTAGCAGTAAAAGTTTTCCCACATTCACTGCACTCATAAGGCCTTTCTCCAGTGTGAACTCTCTGGTGAGAACGAAGGACAGAACTAGTGGAAAAAGGTTTCCCACACTCACTGCACTCATAAGGTCTTTCTCCGGTGTGAACTCTCTGGTGTTCAATGAATGATGACTTACACTTGAAAGATTTCCCACAATCATTACACTTGTAAGGCTTTTCATCTGAGTGAACCTTTAGGTGTACATTGAGGTTATTTCTTCGGGAAAAAGACTTGCCACACTCGCTGCACTCATAAGGCCTCTCCCCAGTGTGGACTCTGTGATGATAATGGAGGTCAGACCTAGAGAAAAAAGATTTCCCACATTCACTGCACTCATAAGGCCTTTCTCCTGTGTGAACTCTCTGGTGATAATGGAGGGCAGAAGTGTCAGCAAAAGATTTCCCACATTCAGTACACTCATAAGGCCTTTCTCCAGTGTGAAATCTCTGGTGATAACGAAGGCCTGAACTAGTGGTAAAAGATTTCCCACATTCACTGCACTCATAAGGCCTTTCTCCAGTGTGAACTCTCTGGTGTTGAATGCATGCTGACTTACACTTAAAAGATTTCCCACATTCATTACACTTGTAAGGCCTTTCATCTGAGTGGACCTTTGCATGTACATTGAGATTATTTCTTCGGAGAAAGGACTTGCCACATTCACTGCACTCATAAGGCCTTTCTCCAGTGTGAACTCTATGATGACAATGGAGGTCAGACTTAGAGAAAAAAGATTTCCCACATTCACTGCACTCATAAGGCCTTTCTCCTGTGTGAACTCTCTGGTGAGAACGGAGAGCAAAAGGAGTAGTAAAAGATTTCCCACATTCCCTACAGCCATAAGGCTTTTCCCCAGTGTGAACTCTCTGGTGATAACGAAGGGCAGAAGTATGAGTAAAAGATTTCCCACATTCACTGCACTCATAAGGCCTTTCTCCAGTGTGAACTCTCTGGTGAGAACGGAGGGCAGAAGGAGTAGTAAAAGATTTCCCACATTCACTGCACTCATAAGGCCTTTCTCCAGTGTGAACTCTCTGATGACAACGCAGGGCAGACGGAGTAGTAAAAGATTTCCCACATTCACTGCACTCATAAGGCTTTTCTCCAGTGTGAACTCTCTGATGATATCGGAGGGCAGAAGTATCAGTAAAAGATTTCCCACATTCTCTGCATTCATAAGGCCTTTCTCCAGTGTGAACTCTGTAATGGTAACGGAGGCCAGTTCTGGAGATAAAAGCCTTCCCACACTTACTGCACTCATAAGGCCTCTCTCCAGAGTGAACTATGTAATGGTAATGGAGGCCAGTCCTGGAGGTAAAAGACTTCCCACATTCACTGCACCCATAAGGTCTTTCCCCTGTGTGAGATCTCTGATGATAAGTGAGGGCAGAGATAGAGGTAAAACATTTTGCACAGACACTACACTTATAGGGCCTTTCTGAGGTTTGAACAGAATGTATAATCGAAACTGAACTATGGCTAAAAGATGTTGAACATCCACTGCAAACATAATCATTTTCTCCACTATGCCCTCTCTGGGGATGAATGAGCACAGATTTGTGGCTTAAGGATTTCCCACATTTGTTGCACGTGTATTGCCTAGACGCAGTGAGAGTCTTTCCATGTGCAGTGTGAGTTGACATCTGCCTTAGCAATTTTCCACATTTGTTAAGCTCATGATGTCTTTCCGCAGTATGGAATCTCTGGTGTATGGCAAATAAAGATTTGTGCCTGAATGTTTTCCCACATTCACTGCACACAAAACATGGACTTCCAGGTTGGACACTCTGATCCCGAACATGTGTATGTTCGGAACAGAAGGCTTCCTTGCATTCTCCCCGAGTGTAATGACCTTTACTGCTCTGCAAAGTTGCCCTGCACTGACTGATTGTGTTTGGCTTCTCTCCAGTTTCAGTGGCCTCTTGCTGCAGATGCCCCGAGCCAGGCACGAAATCCTTCTGAACCTCTGTACAGGTAAAGGGCTTTCCTGAATCATGGAGTCCATATCCTTTCACAAAAGTGGCCGT